CCTATCAGCCAGACACGGGCAAGAGGAGGGCGGAGCGTCCTTTCAACAAAGCAAAGCAAACCTGGGCCGTGCCCCCTGCTGAGGAGCCTCCCGTGGAGGTCTTCAGCGCGTCCCCACCCCATCCCGGACAGCTTACCTCTGGTCTGCGTGCTGGGCTCGGCTTCCTGCCCGGCTGGCGGTGCTCAGTGCTGTTGGCACTTCCAGTCCGGGCTCACTTCGAGCCGACCAGGCTCTCCCGGGGCCGCACTCCTTGCAAGGCCAGCTCAGACCGCCCCTGCCTGCCTGACGGCCTACCTGCACCTGCGCTGTCCCCGGTTTCCCTTCCGCGACCCGGCGCCGAACTCGTGTCCACTCGGGGCAGTCGCCGTCCTGGCAGCGCGTGGGCCCCTGGAACTGGGAGAAGGCACCCGGGAAGTCCCCTCTGGATCGCTGATGCCTCCAGCCAAGCCGGAGGAGGCTGCGCCCGAGGCCTGGCAGCACTCCGCCTCCCGCACGCGCAGTTCTCCAGGGAAGCGCCCGCCCCTCCGGCCCCACCCAAGCGGGGGATGCGGGACCCGAGGAAGCAGCGTGAGGCCGTTTTCCCTCCGATCCTTACCTCCCTGGGATCCTGGGCTGGAGGGGTGCCGTGCCTCCGTCTGGAGCCGAAGTTTTCCACCTTCCTCTCCAGTCAAATTCCCCAGCCCTGCAGCCCCCGGGAGTGCTGCCTGCCCCGAGTGTAACTGCCCAATGGTGTGGGGCAAGGTTCGGAATCTTCAGGCCTGGGAGTGCTTCAGGGAAGGGATAGAGCCGGGCTTGTTCCAAACTCACCTGTCCAGGGCCGGCCTGGCCTAACACTGACCGCAGAACTTGATCGCTGTTAGCCCCGGGGCAAGCTGCTTTTATCTCGATCTTCACCTGCAACTTTCAAAAGTTGACCGGAACATGAACACTCGCCTATCTATGCAAACATTAAGTTCTATTGCAAATATCTGGTCTTTCATAAATTAAAAAAAAAAAAACTCACTATGAGTAGCCGCACCATGAGTAGACCCATTCTATGGAGGGATGACTGAGGCCCTGGGGCATCTGACTTCAGAAGTCTCAGACTCAGGAACCATTCTTAAAAGACTCCTCAATATTGAACTCTGCAGGGCGGTAAAACTGCAGGCCACCTAGCACATCTTCTCCAAGTGGTGAGTGGTGGCAGCACCAGTGCCAGTGGGAGACGTTATATACCCGCAGGAATACAAAGGGGGCTTGACCTGAAGTTCCTCTGGAATCAGCCAGTTCTCTCTCTCTCTGCCTCAGAGCTCAGACAGGCGACTCCAGTGACCTGCTGAAAGTCTCCCGGGTCTGCAGAGAATTCAGTAACGCTGCTGGCTGAGCCTGGGACAGCCCTTCCATGGTCTCAGCCCTGGAGCCCCAGCCATGACCAGTGCAGAGCTCCTCCAGCTATTTATACCTGGAGAAGGTGACCCCAGAGAGGGGCCAGAGAGCAGGGAGGATCTGCTCCCGGCTCCCTTAAGTGTCTGGAGACACGCAAACTCCGCGGAAGTCAATCTGTGTAGCCAGCTCGATTTCCTCTAGCAGGGTCACGCACCTCTTTCTAACACTGGAGGGGACGCAGACTGAAGGAAGTCCAGCCTGACCTGGGAGGTGAGGGTCTGGTGCTGGGGAGGCCAGCGTGCAGCAGGATGCTGGACTGGGTCAGAGAGGAAAAAAAAAAGTTTCTTACTTAGGAACCCCCAAGGGGAAAGGGGCTGCTACCACAGACTTGGAAGAGCACACTCCTCCCAGTGTGTGGGAAGGAGGGCAGGCTCACCCACCATTCCCATCACCGCTGGACCCTAAGCAAAAGCACAACTGGCTCCCACCTGCAGGTTTGAGATTTAGCTCCTGGTTCACGCCCGAGCCCTCCAATGTTTTCATCGAGTTCTCACTCAGCCTGCATGCTGAGATTCTGAGTTGTAGAGTGAGGTGCAGCGGGGAGAGGGAATGAGGGCATGTTCCCAAGCATCACCTCAGGGTGCAGGAGGCAGGACCCTGCCCTGGGATGGGGCTGGATTTCCAGGGCACCAGGAGATGGGCACTGTTCCTCTCTCTCACTGCCAATGCCGTGTAGGGGCCATTTGCGGGCCCTGGAGCTCCAAAAAAAGGCAGCAAAGAGGAGTCTGCACAGGTATCCACTCCCGGGAGCTCCTATGAAGGTGGCTGCCCCAAGTTGGCCCTCAGTGACCTCAGGTAGAAGCAGAGACGAAGTTTTCCACCATGTATGCCCTGGCTTTTGGAAAGCACCTAATACTTTGACGCCACAGAACAGGGAGCCTTAATCCCACGTGGGTGGCTCAGGAAAGAAGTTTGGCCTTGGCAGGGTGGGGGGGGAGGTTACAGGGTAGCCAGAAAGATGAGGATGCCACTGTTGTAGGCGGAGGTGAGGGCAGAGGGAGAGGCACCTAGGATGGGTTTGTCACTGGGGCATTCTGTAAATGATGCGACCTGCTCACCAGGGTGCCCCTGCCCGCCTATCGGAAAAGGACTCCTTTGCCATGATTGCAGTCTACTTGTTAATTAGAACCACTCTATCACGGTAGCATGCATTTGAATTGTCTGTCTCCCTACATACACACACTCCTGCAAATAATCATGGAATTTACGGACATCAGATTTTGTTCCACCGTCCAAGCACATAGAGCAGTACCCGCAAAAACACCGCGGGTGCTCGAGCTGTGCGTACAGCTTTACGTATGGGCAGACGGATGGACAGGTGTGTGCATGCTCGGGTAGGGGGACAGACTGGCAGGTGGATCGATGGATCAATGTTTCGCATTTGCAGGCTGTGAGACCAGCACAGAAAAGCACAGAAAGTCAGAAATTCCCTTTCCAGTCCTCAGCTTGGGCAATCCCCCAGAGACGGCGGTTCCCGAAGAGGGGCTCCGGGGCTAGGAAATCGGCCGGGAGCACCGCGGGGATCGCAACGGTGGTGGGCGGCGCGAGAGGGAGGCTGCGAGGCCGAGGCGGCCGGGGGAGCCCGGCGGCCCGCAGCGTGGTGCCCTGACGCACGCTGGGCTCCGAGTCTTTTCAAGTTTCGGGCGAGGCGAGGGAAAGGAGGGCGTTCGCCCCCCAAGCTCCGCTCCGCCAGTCTCCCGCTAGGCCATTCTGGACTTGTCCGCGGCGCATCCTGGGCGGTCAGAGGGCTCAAGAGGGCTTCCCGGCTGGCCTCCCTCCCCCCTCCTCGCGTCCCTCCGGCTCCCCAGCCAGGCGGCCTCCACCCCCTCCTGCAAGGGCGAAATTGCTAAACTTGTAGCAATAATGACCCTGCTTTCAGGCTGCCGACTCCCGCTGAACAGCTCCGCGCCCCGGCCAGCCGGGTCTAATCAGTGCGCCCCTCCCTGCTGCCCGCCCAGCCCCCTGGCACCCCCTCCCCCAGCGCACAAGAAACGGGGAACAAAACCCGCGCGCATTTCTCCGTCCCTCTGTCGAGCAGACTGCAGCACAAAGCCCCCGCTCTGAGAAGCAATGGGGAGCTGGGGCGGGGGACGTCAATCCGACGCGCTGGGGTTTTTGTTCGCCCAGGGGACCTCGCCTTCCTACCACACCTTTTGTTCGGGACTCCAATAAAAAGCCATTCTTTCCGCACCTTCCCGGCCCGGAGCCGGCTTTCAGCAAGGCCCGGCCCCACAATGGTGCGGCGCTCTGAGGCCTCCCCATTCACCCGCCTTGGCACGCTCACAATCGGCCGTGTGGCAGCACAGGCCTCGCGCAGGCATTCTCGGCAAGTGACAAGGAGCCGCATAAAGCCGCGGCCGCCGGGGGAGAAAGGCGGGCGGCCGAGGGGGAGCGCTCAGCCACGGCGGGGCGCAGGGCTGCGTCCCCGGGCGGGCGCGCTGGAAGGCCCGGCGGCGGCCGAGGAGGGAGCTGCCTTCTCGCCGTCCGCAGCTAGATCTAGGGGAGAACCTTCACTTTTCCCCGGCGACCCTAGAATCGAAAGCCGAGGGTCCCAACGCTCTTCTTTCTTACCAGAGAGCGTCCAGCTGGGGGGGGGGGTGGGAGGGAGGAGGAAGGATTATAAAGCCCTGGACCTCAAAAGGCCCAATCTCTGACCTGCCCTCCCCGCAAAAGGGAAGTTAGTGAGCAAAACCGCGGAGAGCCGGGACGCGCAGCCCGAGCCAGGCTCGCCGAGTCCAGGCTTGAGATCGACCCGGGACGGCGGCCTTCCCTCCGCGTCGTCTTCCCGGTCCCTTTCGGCGCCGCTCCCCTCCACAAAGGCAGCCAAGGTTGGAAATATTGCACCTTGTTTATTGACTCCTGTAGTGTGTGGCAGCGCTGTGTACACGGCGTGTGGATACAGTTACATAAAAATAATATGTGCTGGATACAGATACGAAACAGAAAGGGATCTGGTCACCTCTCGAAGGGCCACGGTCCCGGATTCCTCCAGCGGCCCCGTTCAACCTCTTATCTCCTGTGGCAGGTTTTCCTCCCAGAGTCCCACCTCACCCCCTGGGCCCTCGGGGAATCCGGGCCAGACCCAGGTCTGCTGTGGAGGGAGGCAGCTGGAAAACGAAGGTTGACTGTGATGGGCGACCCAGCGGCCAAGGACGCATCGGGCCGGAGATGTCTCAAACCACAACCCCTCCTTGTTCTCCTCTTTAAGCTTTCCTCTCCCTTGGGCTCCCCGCCGACGCTTGAGTGCGCGGGGAGAGCCGGAGAGACGGTTCTCGCTTGGACAGAATTCAGCACAGCCAGCCTAGGCCTCCCGCACTGCCCGGGGCCGCCGCCGCCGCCTCTGGGCTCACAGTCCACTTGTCTGTCTCTGAGACAGTCCTGCCACCGGACGCGGGCATCCTCCTCGCCCCGGACCTCTTCCCAGGCCTCGGGTGGGCTAGGGGGGAGCGAGATGTGTCTTTTTTTTTTTTTTTTAACGAGGGGATATGGCCCGGGAATCAGATCTTTCTCATGCTTTTGAGTCCTGCGGCACCAGGTTGTGGCGGGGGCGCCGGCTGCATGAATCTACCCCGTCTCTACCAGGCCCGAATGCCCTGCAAGGTGCCTTGCGCACACGCGGCCCCGGCGGCCGCGCCCTGGTGCAAGGGCTGCGCGCCACCGCCGCCAAAACCGCCCAGATTGCTCACGTTCACGAAAGGTCCTCCCCCAGCCGCGCTGCAGGCGGGTGGCATGGCCGTGGTCGCCGCCGAGGCCCCGCTGCCGGCTCCTCCACCTCCGCCGCCGCCGCCCGCCGGGTACGCACAGCCGTAGCTGCCGCTGTAGGCCGCAGCGGCGGCGGCAGCGGCGGCGGCGGCGGCCGCGGCGGCCGAGTTCCCGTAACCGTAGGCAGGGAAGCTGTTGTAGGAATAGGCGCCGGCGCCCACGCTGTAGGGCGCGCCGTAGGCCTGCGCGCCGGGCGTGACGCACGGCTTGCCGTCCCGCACCAGCACCGGCACCGCCACGCGGCGCGGAGGCGGCGGCGGTGCGTGCGCGCCCAGCTCCAGGGACTTGTCCTGCCGCTGTCTCTTGCACTTGTACCTGCGATTCTGGAACCAGATTTTCACTTGCGTGGACGTGAGTTTCAGGCTGCTGGCCAGGTGCTCACGCTCGGGCGCGGACAGGTATCGTTGCTGCTTGAACCTGCGCTCCAGCTCGAAGACCTGAGCTTGCGAGAAGAGGACCCGTGGCTTCCGGCGGCTGCGCGGCTTCGGCCTCTCGCTCTCCTCCGCCGCCTCACAGTCTCCGGCCGCCTCCAGAGGTTTCTTCAGCGGGCAGCTTTCTGTGAAAGAAGCACAACAGTAGCGTTCAGGAGCTGTTTTCGTCCTGGCCTCGCGCGGCTCCCTGAGCTGCTGCGCCACGGTTCCTTTCGGGGACCGGGGAGGAACGAGCAGTCCTTAACCACCGGGGCCATTTGGAGAGCTGGAGAACCCTGCCACAGCATCAGTGCCCTCGGCGGCTGGAGTAGCGAACGTGCGCCTATTGGAATCCCGAGCCACTGCTGAGGGAGATGCCCTGTGATAAGCACTGTTTTTCCATTGGAAATAGATACCGAATTTGCAACTTCGCCTGTCTTCCCGGTCGCGCCGGGTGGCTGAAGCTGCCTGAGCTGGACCTCTTTCCGTTGGAAATGCCCGAGGCTTACCCAGCGCCTGGCCCCGCGGCTGCTAAGTGCTTATAGAAGACTATATGCAAATGCGTGCGTGACGGTGTCTGCATTACCTCAGGGAAGAAAAAAAAAGTTTGCGTGTAGGCGGTTTCTCAGAGGTTTCAGGCCCAGAGGGAGCTATCGCGGCAGAGCCTGGGCCTCAGACCCTCCAAACCTCCTCTGGTGGTGGAGACTGGGTGGGAAGAGAATCTTTAACAATGAAACCTCTGAGAACGCTTCCTGGGGGTGAAGCTGGGGTGTTACTCAGCTATGCGTTCTCCCTGCCCATCCCACGCACCGCACCGCAAACTACGTTGTGCGGTTTTCTTGGGGGGTCCGCAGCCTGGGACACAAAGCAGAAAAGCTGGAGTATCAGGGGTGTGAGAGCCAGGAGCACGTAAAAGATAGTATTCTCACGCACACCCCAGTGTGCCCTCCCTCTGTGCGAGCGAAGACGCGGATCCCCAAGCTGAAAAGTGAGGCGTCCACCCACTCTGCGCCCCGTGGGATGCAGGAGCCACAACCTGCCAGAGGAGGGACAGCTGCCCTAATCTCCCAGGCCCATTTCAGGACGGAAGGACAGTGCGGGACCCTACCCTTTCTTGAATGGTGGGGTATTTTTTTTTTCAGTGAGAAGGTCCCTATTAGAGGGGAAGAGCCAACGCTGGCCAGTGGTTGGGGCCCGGCGGCCGCACCCGTTGGGCTCCTCCAGCAGTTGCCTTTTCCTAGGGAGCTGTGCTGCCTCCGGCTTGGTAGTAGTCGTTGTCGGGTGGCCGCGACCTCCCCTCCAACTGCGCCTCACGGGTGCCTGCGCCTGGCGGAGCTGGCGACGACCGACCCGGGCGGAGGCACAGCGTGGCCCCCGCCAAAAGGTTAAAGGGGCGGAGGAGGTGCTGGCCAAGGTTTACTTTGGGGCATATATATTTTGCGGGCGCTCGGCCACCTCCGCTCCAGGTGCGATTCCTTCCCAACCCCCGCCCCCCTCTACTCACTTTGGCTCCTCTCCCTGCGGACCTCCGACTCCTCTTCGTGTTCCTTGGGCCCACCGCACGAGTCTCGCAGCACTGTGTGGACAAAGCTCTGCGGACAGAGCCCCGCGTCTCCGTGCGCGTCGGCTGCGGCCAGAGAGTTCAAATAGGACAGTTTGTCACCCTCCTCGTCTTCGTCCTCGTCCCCTCCGTCCGAGAACTGCGCCCCCTCGGCGGCGGCCAGCATGCAGGGCGCCGAGTGGAAGTGCTGCTCCAAGTCCGCCTGTAAGTGCGCTCCGTGGAAGTGCTGCTGCTGCTCCAGATTCAAAATGTCTTTGACTGAGAAAGGGGTGGAGGTGACCGGGCTTGGTAACATCATCAGGGCCACTTAATTGTCCAGTCCAAATACTCAATAAATCCCGGCGGGGGCGGGGAGGCAGCGCGGCGGCTGCAGCTCTCCCTCCTGGACTCTGCCGCCGCTGCCGACTCGGACTTTTTTTGACAGACGCGGTCCCGCTGCAGTCTAAACCGCCTCCATTGGCCGGGACCTGGGGGTCTGGGTTTTGTTAAGCCACTGCAGAGACTGGGGCCGGGGCTGCCGAGCCTCTGGCCGGGGGCTCTCGCGTCACGCCGAGGGGCGGAGTGCGCGCCAAGCCTCCGTCCCCATTGGCTCGGGCTGCCGCAGGACACGCCCTGCCCGCCGCGTCCAGGGCGCCGAGGCCGCGGTGCCACCAGAAATAAACGAGAACCAGACCCAGAGCGGTGGAGTCCCAGGCGCTGCGGGCCGGGCCGTGCTGACCCGAGTGGCCAGACCACTCCCAGGCTCCAGCCCCGCCTGGCTGCACCTTCCTGATCTGAGCTACTTCTGGGGTGGGGGGTTTGGTGGCCGAGAACCAACTCCTGGGAAGGATACCCACCCCTCCAGAAGTGTGGGGCCGGGAAAGTTTTCCGGCGAGTTGCACCAGGCGCAGGATCCACCGTTGTAGTCTTCGGATGAAAGGACGTTCTTGTCCATTGCCGCCTGAGGCCTCAGAGCAAGCCGCCCTCTCCGCCTGGGATGTCGTGCTGCCCTGGTCGGTTCTCCGAGGCGGTGTTCAAGGAGCACCTCCCACGAAGACGCACTCCTCGGTCCCCTGGCCCGAGGGCCTCTCTTGCGCCTCTGCACTTGCAGCTCTCTTTAGCAATGAAGTTAGTGGTGTCATTGATGGCTTCCCACCTAGTTTTGTAGCTGAATGCACCTGCCAGACACCCTGGTTAGACTGCGAGCCTCCACCTCCCCCTCCGAGGGCAGGGTCCCTGTAGGTTGCTTTTTACCCCTGTGGTTCTCTCAGCTGCTGCCCAGAGCAGGTATGTGAAAACATGATGGGTGTACTGACAACTCTGGGTTCGAATCCTGATCTTCCTCAGTGTGTGGCCCGGGGCGTGATGAAACCTGTTTCCTTCTTCAGGGTTATCAGGGTTAAATAGGGCAAGACACACCAGGGACCTAGTACAGCGATGCTTCTGGCTCAGGGTCGGCTCACAGGTCACCTCTGGCTGCCCTGGCGTGTGCCGTGGCCCTGAGGGCTGCGCGCACTAGGTGGCCCCACGCAGATCTGACAGCAAGATCTGTCCTTGCAAGGGTAGGGGCCCAGAAATCCTGGGTGTCTTCCGCCTATTGAAATGGAGTGCTTTTCACATTTGTTGACCCACGGGTCTTCTGGGGTCCTGATGAGGTCACAGTGGGTTTTTGTTAGGGGGGGCAGGTAGAAACCCATGGGATCCCCAGAGATTCAGGAAACTCGCGCGCGGGAGGGTCATCTTTCCCCTCTACAGTAGGCATTCGCGCCAGTCACCACGCCCAGCGCTGGGAGGAGCAGCGCGGACCTTGGAAAAAAAATGGGGGCCTGTTCCCGCCCAACCGTGGCGCCCCTCATCCGGCCACAGCCGCCCCAAGCGATTTTTGGCGGTAAGGATGGCAGAACTCGGAAAGATTGTGCTCAACTGGAAGAGGCACATATAAGGTGCAAGGGCTGCTGACAAGGCCTTGGGACAGCGGCGGCTGGCACCGGGTTCGAGGGGAGATGAAAGTGGGGAGCGACCCTGCGGAGGGTGGGGGGTGCACCACTGGGAGACAAATGGGTGCCCTAGGCCAAGCAGAGAGAAGGGGGGGGAGGGTTGGAAAGGCGGGGCTATTCAGGAAGGAGGCGGAAATGTTATGGGGGCAGCTCTTGGGGCCGCCTGGGGGAACCTGGATGAGGCGCACCCCACGTGCAACGGGGCTGTCGGAGGGCAGTGGGTAGAGACCCTCGGTGGGCTGGGCTTTGCACTCCACGGCCGGCCCTCAGCGGAAGGGGCACCAGTGCCTTTCTACTTTAAATCTTAAAACTCTTGGCGCCCTAGAGGTAGGCCGGTGTCTCTAAACCAGGCCGCGAATCTGCTGCGGGAAGAAGGCACCTGGTTTGGCCGTGGATCCCGGGCGTCCGAACCCAGTGACCCGGAGACAGCGGTGAGTGCGCAGCGCTTCGGGTTGGGGAGGCCTTGGCGTGCACAGGCGTCCTCCGGAGCGCACAACCGGGAATTGGTGGCGGGGCCCCACTCCCCCAACCTACCCCCAGGGCAAAAAAAAAAACACCTTCCTCCTCCTATCCGCCCTGCCCCACACCCCCGACCTTCTCCGGCTCTTTGGTGATTTCAAGATTTGGAAAACATTTGGAAAAAGACAAAAGCCAGCAAAAAAAAAAAAAAAAAAAAAAGACACTTTTCTCTTCCTGGTTTCCAAGGGAAGCCGGGATTTCTCTTGGCTACATTCCCTTTATTCGTCAGCCCAGCGGCACCTCCCTCCCGGGCCTTCGCTCACTCTCACAGGTCTCAAACCTGTGGCTTGAGACCACCGCAGGGACAAAACGCCCTGCTGGGCCGGGGGGCGCGGAGACGCGCTCCAAAAGTCTTACCACACGCAGTTCAACATCAGCCCCTCTAGCTCACTGACCGCCTCGGCCACTACCGGGCAGGTGGCCATGGCAGGACCTGAGCCACGGTGCTGCCTGGCTTCGCTGGCCGGGACTCAGCTCCGTGCAGCTGGAGCACAGAGGGTCGGGAGGCCTACGGGAACTCGGAACCCAGAGGCCTCGTGAGCGCCTTCTACATCCCATCCCCCCCCCCAACTTTTCCCTCCTCCACCGCAGATGGAGAGAGAAAACGAAACTCCTACCGCTACTGCGTCCCTAGGGTTGATCTTGGTTTAGGGCCAAAGAACAGGGATTCCAGGGTACTCCTGCTACTTTTTCTTGTCTGATCCTCCGATCTCGAGGAACCCGCAGGGTCAGTCCTGCCTCCCAGCAGGCCAGACCTCGGTGGGCCTGTGCCCCGCGCTGCAGAGGACCGCGGACTGCGGTTGTCACTTACCGGCTGGTGGGACTCCAGTTCCAACGAGGATCCAGTTTCCAGAGCGTGCGGGATATTTGCATCTCCTGGTGCGAGGAGGGGATCTTTGAAATCCACAAGCTGTGTTCAACTAATAATGGGTTTTCGTTCCAGACTGTTTAGCTAATTACTGTCAGATAAGGTAAATATTGGTTGCATCCATGGGAGCGTGTGATTTGATTTTAATCGAGTGTATCTGCCGTGGTATGCTTTTGTTTCATTGTCCATTTATGCGACTGCTCCTCCTCCCTGGAGTATATGATTAATGATCATCGTTAAATGGTGGCAAATTCCTTGAGGCGGAAGTACCATATAGTTGCATAAATGATACATTTAAACATATCCTAAAAAAAAAAAAAAGACAAAACCTTGTGCTAACCATGACAGCAAATACATTACCAAGAGAAAATGTGATAATTCTTTGAAGCCTGCGAAATGTCCTTGTAACTGTGATCCTGTACACAAATGTTGCTTAAAGCATATGTGAATCTAGGCAGTCCACGGATGCTCTGAGTTAGGTAAGCCTCTGCTTATCTTGTTGCCTCCCAGCTAGTACAATGGCCATTTAATTATGTAAGCAAAGCCACAACAAAGTCGAAAGTTGCTGCGGCTTTCTAATCTAAATGTGACACCACTATCAAAAGTGATACTTTCAAATTGTGAAAAATCACCCCATGCTGGAATTTAGCCGAACAAAGTTGGACATTTCTGGTGAATGTCCCTACTATTTTATTGCTCTCCTAAAATTTCACATTCAATGGTATCTTAGGGAAAAAGGCAAAACAGTGTTAAATGCACCGTGTTAATTTATTGTTGGTGGTAGGGATGTGTGTGTGTGTGTGTGTGTGTGTGTTTAGATCTTGGGAAAACAATCCAAAACATTTGAGAAATCTAGAGGTGTTTTGGTTGTGAGGAAGGTTCTACTTTTAAAATGTCAACTAGATTAAAATGCCCTAGAAAGCATGAAATTGATCTAATTTCTGGGGAGTACTTTTTCCTTGAAGTAATTTTGTAACATATTTTAAATATTGTGCCATTTATTAGACTGTATGTGCGTATTTGCATAAATGCCAGGCATCGCTAGATTTTATTTGGAATCAGATTTTCTAAATAACCTGTCATTTCTCTTACCTGGGAGAAAGTCTGTTCAAATTCAGAAATTCTATACAGCTGCTTGTTAATTACCAGACTCTTTCGGAGAAAGTGAGTTTCGATTTCTCCTGGAGAGGGTTTTTCTCGAGTATCTGTATATCTGCCCCCCACCCCAACTTCCGAAGACAAAAATGTAAATTGAAGCTTCTGGTCCAAGCTGTTTATTTTCTGTTCATAAAACACTGCGTTTGTCGAAGAAAATAATCAGTTCATTATTAATTTTTTTTCGAACAATGCTCAAGCGAGGGACACGTGAACAGAAATTTATTTTTACGATTTGCCCGTGTTATTTGGGGACGCAGTGAGCAGTTTTAACTGGAGGATTAAATTGGAATTCTGAATGCATTCCTTAACTATTTTTTCTTTTGGTGTAAATTTAACTTCTGTAGAGATTTGTTAACGTGTACAGACTTTTAAAAATGCAATCTGACTTCAGAGGGGCGTTGCCAGTTTGGACAATTGATTCTCATAAACCAGGGCGCCGGCCTGCTCCCCGTGGCTCCAGGGCATTGAAATGGGGAGTCTCCAGGCACAAATGCTTCGTGGGGCTTCCTGGGAGACACCTCGGCCTCCTGGGACGTAAAAGGCTTTTTCCAAATGCCCCCTGGGGGTACGAGGGCACAAGTACCCGCAAACGCATCTGAGAGTCAGAGACCATCCTACCCCAGTGGAGGAAGAAGCGTTTGCCGCGGCTTGGTCTGATACGGCGGAGAAAGTCCGGAGCCCAGAAGGTCCGGAGCCCAGGCCCGCGTCGGCAGTGCGATTCTCCAGCTGCAGCGAGACCTTCGCGGTCAGCTGAGGGCGACGACTGCGTCCCCGGCCACCCCCTGGGCCCAGACTCCCGAAGCTCCTGGGGCGTCCAACAGTTACCACTGCCGGGGCAGCAGTCTCGGTTCGCCCGATCCCGAGTTTCTGGTCTGGCTGGCCGGCAGCCGGGGACCGGTCGTGGAAAGGCCCGAGGCCCCTTGGCTGGCGCGCCTCACCTGGGCACACAGCGGCAGGGTGAGAC